AATTAGCCCAATAATGTTCAATCAAATATCGTGCGAATAGCCAACAGATATACACTCGTATATATCTATATACATATATATAAATATTTCTTTATATCAGCTACTCAGCTACTTAATACTATATAGAATTTTCCTTTCATTTTGTTGTTTTTTTTTTTCCTTAACTTTTCGTAGACTTTACTTATTTGCATTTACGTCCTCATGTCATGTGTGTGAGCGAAAATTAATAATTTATTAAATAAAGAAGAAGACGAACCCGAAAAGTATATAAAAACAAAAATAAAATTCAGCACTCAGGAGGAGCTCAGGAGATGCCAAAGAGAACAGAGAGAGGGAGACAGAGACAGAGTGTGAGTGAGTGAGTGAAAGAAAGACAACACAAAACACCTACGCAATATTTTCCACGTCTTTCCACGACAGACGAAAATAAAATTAAAGAGAAATTTTCAGTTAGGATATGAACGGGAATTATGTATAGCCGTCAGGGCAATATACCTACATATAGAGCAATCAAACCTCTATCATCATCAGGTGGCAACAGTTGACGTCTAACAATATTTATTATTCTAATTTCAATTAGAAACAAAATCTGCAGAAGATTTGTGCACTTTGATTGCTTTCGCTTAATATTTTTGTGGCTTATTTATTGCTTGTCAAATTTTGGATTGGCTTTTCGAAATTATTCTTAATTGAAATTTTAAATTCGCTATTTTCCATATATGCACATTTTAATAATATCCATTACTTATGTTTATTTTAAAGAAATATGATTGAAAAAATAAAACATGAGTTTAATTATTTACTTTTGATTAGATGTTAGAGTTATGTGGCTTAAAATATAAATATAAATAAATTTATAATAAATTTAATATAAAATATAAATATTAATCATATGGCTGTTATGTCAAGTAACTAGACCTCTTTGAAATTATCACAATTTATGAATTATAATTCTGGGATTCGTTTAGTCATGTGCTTTGATCATCAGTTATATTCTTAAATATATAATAATTTTAGTATAGAAAAAAATATTCAAAATCATAATTAATTTATAGACTTTATTTGCTTAAAGGCTTAAGATTTTTATAAGTTAATAAATTACAGCGAAATGGGCTAGAAGAGATTTGTTAATAAAATGTTTGAGATAAAGACAATTTCGTTTTATTTATAGCATTTATAATATACATATATTGTCCATAAAAAAAAAGTACATTAACATCAGCAGTTAAAGCTAGGAATTAGTCAGCTTAGTTCACAGAGAACTTGCTTCGGCTTTAGCCTTGACGCTGCTCAAACAATAAATAGGTTCTACAATAAACAATCTTAAAAATATATAAATTAATAAAACAAATATAATGTGCACATTATCAATGTTTAATTCTTATAATTTTTAAGCACATATATTTTTATTGCGTGTCAATGGCAAAAAGCGCGTCACAACGCAACGCACAAAGCGACCAACGGCCAGACAAACAGTTGGCCAAAAATCGACGAGCAGACCTGTTCCCAATGCATATATATACATATATGTATATATAGATACAGATACATATACATATACTTTATCTTTTGGTTAGCCATAATATTTCTCGCGCCGACAGGCGACGGCGACCTTGTGCCACGGCTCAACGCGTAGAAAGCGAAAAAATCAAAAAAAGAAATTTTTGAAAAAAAAGAGAATAGAAAATATTGAAAAATCCAACAAAATATTAAGAAAAACTACTGTTAACATTTGTCAAAATTATTTTCACTTTAAATGCATACAATGTGTATGAATGTTTTGTTTTCGCTGCATATAAACAAGATTTCGATTTGCTTCTGCTGTTTGTTTTGTTATGGTTCAACGCGTCGTATGCGCAACGTCTGCATAGCATTTCGGCCACTGGGGAACTGCACGAACTGCGATTATTTTACATTTTTTATTATTTATTTTTACTCTCATTTTTATGGCAACGCATTAAAAATTAAATACCAATCTTTTTATGTTTGGTATTTTTTTAGCTTCAACGCATTAAAAATAAAATTAGCATAAATCAAGTTTGAAGAGCGAAACAAAATAAAATCTTGTTTGACATTTGTCATAAAAATGAGACTGGGAGGACCAAAAACAGTGGAATGGCAAGACTAATAGAAATTTACATTAAATATTATTTAAATAATATTCATTAAAAATTTGCTAAATGTTATTGTAAATGTTATAAATTATTTATTTATTTATTTATCAATTGTTACAAATACATATACATAATTTTATTAAAAATATAACAAATAATATTAAAAATAAAAGAAATATTTAGTCATTAGTTTATTATTTGTATGATCTGAGTTAAAACTTGATTTTACAAAAATTCTATTTTGCGTCTCTCAAAAAAAAAAAAAAAAGTGGAAATGGAAATGGAAATCAACCAACAGAAATTGAATATCAACCCTTTCATTATACCATTCCATTACAAATTCAATTACAATTCTCATATTTCCACAGAAAATTGGAAATAAAAACTCTTTTAAGATTCCATTAATTTGAGACACAATGGAAATTACAATTCGCTCAAAAAGTCTCTGCATAAATCGAGTTAAGCAATTGAGGAGCTCTTAGCCCTTGCTGCGAGAACTCAACTATTATGGGTAAAAACAAACATTTCAAGCACCGGCAGCAGCAGCAGCAACAGCAGGAGGAGGAGCAGCAGGAGAAGCTGTTCGCTGCAATTAAGCAACTGAATAGGTTCGTTGGACTTCAAGGGGCTAACAAGAGCGAGCGCTCATAAGGCCTGGCACAGGCGAATTCGCCATAACTCGCTGAGTAAATTGCATAAAATACGCGCTGAAAGGCCGGCAATCAAAAGCCAACTTACACGAAACGAATGACAGACGAGACGAACGGACGGGCAGACAGACGGACGGGCAGTTGGACAGCTAGAGTGGCCCATTAGCTGGCGCTGATGATAAAAAACAGCTTGGGCACGCACGCACACTATCTCTATCTCACTCTCACACACACACACATACATGTAGACAGACAGACAGACGTTTTATGTGCGTTGGCTTACAGCAGCGAAGACATCGCGCATACGCCGCGTGCTCGCCAAGCAAATGCCAATTAAAATTCATAAACAAAATTTTAATTGAAATGTGTGCAAAATGTGCGTCGCTCTTGCCAATTTCATTTCCATTACTCGACATTTCACTTTGATTTCAATGCAGAGGGCATGCAGAATACGTAAAGTGCTTTGTTGTGAAAGCGGAATAATTTCAATTCAATAGAGAAATGGAAGAAACTCTATAAGAAAATTGACATTGAATTGGAATATTCATAAGTTGTAATTACTTTTAGCTGAAGATTGCAAAGTCAAAGCAAAGTAGGGAAAGGTGTCGCCAGACGGGTCTGCTCAGCTAGAAGGTCTAACTTGGAGGTTACTTCAATAATAATAAATAATAAATAAAATAATATAATAATAAATATAAAATAAAATTGCAATTTACTATATCAAGTATTATAGCTTATTAAATTTCAAATAAAAACTGAATTTAGATACTTTATAAACAAATGCCAAATATACTACCCTATTAGTGCATATAGCCGGTTCGCATATCTACCTTTGGCATTTCTCAATAGCTATTCACTTTTTTTTCTCGATTCTTTACCATATTTCGAATTTATTAATTAACGCGCGCATTTAGCGCCGGGTAAACAACAATTTATTTGTTTATTTGAATAATATTGTGAAATATTTAGAAATATTTCATAAATACCATGAGTAATACTATTGAGCGAGGTGGGCGTGGCAAGTTCAAATTTCCGTATAGCCCAATACTGTCTGTCTGGCCATATGTTGCCTGCCTATTTATATATACATATATAGTGTCTACTGTTGAAATGAGATTTCAAAAACGGCAATTGGCTTCGCACTTCATAAATGCCCAGC